ATTACCTGTGTATCGCAAGCTGGCTGGCCTTACCCCCCACCCTTGATTAATTATTAAGAAAAAGCCTTGGATTTTGTTATGAGATTTACTACATTAAAACGTTCCACCATTTATTGAAATATATAATACTTATTCCTACTATCCTGCCCGAGTAATTATTCACCCCCCCCCCCCTTTCTCATTTCCGGTCCCCCCGTAAATGCCAAGTAATTTCCCCTCAACAAATCATTTGTTCCATTTATTCGTGCCTTCACCGGGAGTTATTATTTTTTAATTTCCCGGCCAAGGTCACAATATCATGTGAATTGAGTCCATATTTAGTCACAGGGCAAAGAGCAAATGAGGAACCATTACCCTCAAATTTTTACACTCGTTTTCGTGATTCATGGACAGGAAAGTCAGGCCGTCTTCTTCCCCACAACGTTGGAAACTTTCATTGGGTTCTGACGTACATCGACATTCAAATCGCTACTGTTTATTTAATTGATCCAGCGAGAATGAGATTGAATGACGAGTGCAGAAAGAGCTGTCAGACGTTTATTGCTAGTTATAACAAGGTGAATATCCTTGGAGTTAGAGAAAGATAAGAAAAAATGCAACAGTGTAAAAAATCATTATTCGACACAATTTAAGCAGCTTCTTTTCCGGTTTTCCATATTTTAATAGAACAGGGTGAGGGAAATGAAACAGGCGAGAAAACTAATATTACAGTCTAAACTATTACTAATGTCGCCAATCCAATTTTTGCAGATTTTTTCTTTTTTTTTTTTTGAGGTAGTGCACAACCACCGATAATACAATTATATCAAATAGGCATTTTTTGTCTGTTCCATTTTCCTTGACAGTTCTTCATGAATATATGAAGAGCGAGATAACGTTGCTTGAATTCGGTCGAATAGTTTTTTACGCTGTTTGACTTTTCCCTACTCCCGTCCATCAGCAATTATCTTTGAAAATTTACTTACGATATATTCATTAATTATGTTATGAGGCACCTCATATTGAAAAATATATTTTTTGTTGGTTATACCGAAATGATTATTCATAACTTAGTTGTAGAGGGAATAAAGTGGGGGAATAAGTGGAATGGCAGAACTGATGCCAGGTGTTCCCGGCGAAGTATTTGAAAATTTAGTTCCGCTGATGCCGCTAGACGTCGCAGGGCGTTCGCATAGCAAACGCCAACGGAAAGGTATTATCTGGAGGACGCTGGCCCAGTCTAATTAATTCAAAATACCTGGTTACCAGACCGCTCCGGCGAAAAGGTAATAATTGCAAGTAGCACACCGAATGTTATGGTCGAGTCATTGCAAGCGACGATTAAGTTCTGTCGTGGTCGAGTCCCGTGTCAATTAGCGACGATTAAGTTCTGTTGTGGTAGAGTCAATAATAAGCAACGGTTAATAGCAGTTGTGGTCGAGTCATGCAGGGGAAGGGGCGAATTATCCGCGACAGGGGAAATTTCTCTTGGGGTACGGTATTCTCTCTCTCTGGTGGAGATTCCGAAGAGGGGAATTGGCATTGCTCGTTCTCCGACCCGGTTATTTCGCCGCCCTCAAATTGAAGAACCACGATACGTGCTGCTTACGACGGTCGGTAAGGAAGAGTACGGGTTATGGGTTGGATACCGATAGAGCACGTCGTATAGTTTCGTTAGAAATTTATTGTAGTTCGGATAATTGGGATCAAGATAGATGAGAAAAGGGAATAGAATAAAGATTATTGACAAAATTCCGTAATGAACTATCAAGAGATAATAATTAGTGCTCAATTTATGTTAATGGGATTTCACGTGAAAGACGAAGTAAGAATTGTCTTGGGAACTTTTGTGTTAATAAAGTAGATATTAGAGACGATAATTCCGATGATGCGCTCACGGCTACATGAATACGCCATTTTTGAGGAATTTGTTTCTATGAAGCTAATTAGTAAAATCATTTGAAAAATCGAGCAATAATTGACGAGCGAATGAGCAATCCTCGCGCAATTATCTGGGAATAAATTCATTGGGGTCAGAGTCGCGACAATACGGGCAGGATCCAACCCACGATTACTACGAAGAAGCCATTCTGGTGGACCGATTGACTGCAGTATAACGACTGACAATTTGAACACTCGAATCTGGGAAACAGGTAAGGTTACAAAGGGACAGGAAAACCGGAAGTAAATTAGTATTATTGAACGAGCTGGCGTTTTAATTTATTCCCAAAAATCGACCCTGAGAGACTAGAGGGCCAAGGCAGTCCGGGGAATAATTTAAACAATAATCTTGAGCCAAAGTTTCGTTACAATGTACTTTTGAAGGTCTTTCCTACATCGTTGACTCAGTGGTCCACTAAAGTTCCACCACATCAAAAGCAGAAAGATAACTATAATTGTGGCATTTTTGTCATGCATTATATAGAAGAAATTCTCGTTGGGCATCTCTTTAATATGCGTCCACTCGATCCAGACGCCAAACGCACATTAATAAGAGAGGATATACTACTGAAATCTCAAGATGTAAGTGGACTGTGTTTATACTATGGACGAGATGAGACAATAACAATAAATGAAACATGGGTTCAGTGCGACAAATGCAACAGATGGGCTGAATATTCTTGTCTTGCTCATTATGGAATAAAAGAAGAGGTCTTGAGTAGAGATGATTACACGGTTACCTGTGACGGCTGCGCAAAATGGTTCTCAGTGAATCACAAATAATGTCAGCGCATAAGTTTCTACATGATGGCTCATGGTTCCCATAGCCCCTAGTCACATAGAAATTACGGTAACAATTGTTAATAGATTTTTATTTATTCAGAAGACAGTATGCTTTTGTCGAGATCAATCCAATATTGAAATGATTTATTAGACAAATTTTCATGCTACGCATATAGAAACTGTGGAAAAAAATCTCAACACTCGTAATTCTCGGAATTCATAACGTGGATAATTCCTGACATTGATCACGTTCCTCTACATTTCTGAGTAATTACGTTTATAAATTCCCAATTGCTGAAGAAATAATTCTCTATAATTATAATTTTACAAAAATTTTGCGGAAATTCAAAGAAGTTTCAAAATATAAATTGGCAGAGATTACTCTCTGTAGCTAGACCGGAACCATAGCATCCACCCAATAATGTTGCAAATCCGTGAAATTGAGGATCGGGGTAATCTCCAGGTTGAGTATGCTTCTGCAAAATTCCTTGGTCACCGGCTGGTCGGACAGTGGAGAGTTCCCCTCTCGAGGTCGTTCCTCAAATCGGGGGGTCCTAAGCCCAGTATCTCTAACAATTGCAGATCCTTCGTTGGAGATATCTTTGGCGTCCGCTCCGTTAACATGGGGTCGGAGAGGACGCTTTTGCCGGATTCACCCTCTCATTCTCGTCATCGGGATCATTTGAGCTCCTCCAAATATCCCGCAAATATTTCACCCTCTCGTCTTTCCAATCGATCTTGATGTCGTAGATTTTACCAGGACGGAAGGTATTTTGGCACATTCAAAATATTATTAGTGTCGGAAGCATAGGTGAATATTCCTTCCTGACACTCGCTATTGGACGCATTCTCAGAGAGGCTTCACTCAAATTTTAATTTAGATTCAAGACTTTAACCAAAAAATTAAATGATAGGCGAAAACATTAAACTCGGTTAAAGACTAAAGTCGTCCCAAAATAATCGAAAAAATTATTCAACTTTTTAATGGAATTGTTTAATAATTTTTTTTAAATCTCCCATCGCCTCCAGAAACACTTTTTAATGAATTGTTTAAGAGCTAGAGAGACATACGGTTTATTCTCTGTCTCTCTATGTTGCTCCTTGCTAGCTAGAAGGAGAATCACGCACAATGGTGGGCGGAGTCACACAGACGTACAGCCGCTGACCGCTGTATTCTCATTGGCGGTCCTTTTCACCCCAATATCTCCAGAATGGTTCTGCTTCTGATCGAAAAGTAGGAAAGGAATTTTTGATTCAGAATCTAAGCGTGCCGATTTCGTGCGTGTACTTACAATCACTAATTAAAATTTCACAGAGTACCCTGGCACAGGGAATTGTAAGAATTGAAGAGCTTGATCGCTTTGCTAAGGAAGCAGCCAGCCTCGAGCCAAATTAAGGATATAAAATACCGTTTACGGACTTTGCGGAAACAAGTTCCTTCTATACTATATCAAGACTCTTCTCTGAGTTACAAGAAACATCCAAATTATGAAACCTATTCATATTTTTCTTAATAAAGTTTACGTTATGACATAAGACGAAGTGCTCACGTAATTGTGCAATAGAGAATTATAGAATCGGCCATTCTCAAAATGCATAAATAATCGAATCATTCGATTTCCATCTACATATTTAACTCACAAATAATTTTAGTGAACAATTTTACATCTGGACGTTCTTCAAAACTGCAGAATTTGAGATCATTGGCAATGGTTAAGTTCAATATAAATCAATTCCAATCTAATTTTCCCTCCAATTTTTAAGCTTAAGGAGTTTTGTCTGAACGAAGATGCTATCCTGCTTAGGTTAATACATAAATCAAACATTTGAAATAAATATATATAAACGAATAAATCAAATAAATGAAAATTGGGATAGTGCAAAACTCTACAGGGTGGGATAGATGAATAGGAAAAAACATGACATAGAAAATAAAAACTACTATATTTTTATTGATGTCTGAGCTATAGAAAATTATGGAGAAACTTTGAAATAAAAAGAGAAATATACCCACAGGACACAACAATGTAGCTGGATTTAAAAGAAAATTCGTTCACCGATGTAAACTTATTTTTGTCCCCACGGATATTGTTTAGAATAGCATAAAAACGTTTTTTTTTTCATTTTCCTCATCCACGTCTTAATATTGTAATTCATTGAACTAGTTATTAAACGAAAAGGCTTAAAATAACAGGAAACCGAAAAAAATTATCGGAGCATACAGAACTCCAATACCGACAAGTGAGCCCTTTTCCAATGGACACCTAGATGTATTGATATGAAAAAGTATTAAATACCTGCAGTGAACAATGATAGGTCCGGCTGATGGCGGATTGGCACTTGACGATTTACGGATGAAACTGAGGACTGGTAATGGATGATCTGGAACACCATGATCAGGCCACCCAGTATAATGATACTGATAAACAGTGCGTTCACCAATATTTGTACCATTTTTCTTCTTTTTAACTTTCAAATGGCGAATATTCAATGTACGAACTGTGTACGTTGCCATGATATCCTCTTTAGTAAGTGTCACTTGAATATTTCCATAAATTTCCGGTTCTTCTTTCGGCCAGTACATGTCACATTTGGCACGTCCGCGTTCAACAAGATTTGTGATCATAACTATTATTGACACGCGTTGTTCCCATACCATACGCCAAAAACTTTCGATTGTCCATTGGAGCGGGCCTTGGGTCCCAATGTACGCACGAGATCGTTGCCATCCATCGATGTAATTAGCATTGATGTAATCTTGACCTTTGTTGGGCGGGTTATTAGTACAGGGTAGCAGTCGGACACGGGAATGATCATCTGTATAATCGAAATTAGGTCATTATTAATACATTTTTGGAACCGTTCAGCAATAAAGTTAGTACCGAAATGTTGTAAGTTGTGAAAACTATCTTAGTACGAGGAAACCATCAATTTTTAAATTAAGCAATATTTCAGTGAATATATCTCAATAATTTGATGTCTAATGGTTCTTGTATAAAGTTGTACGATAAATAAAAAAATTTTCATTCAATTATATATTCAAGAATGGGAAAGAAATTGTCTATACTATTTCTCAGGAATTGTCGTATGGGACCCGCGTAGAAAAATTAGTGTCTTTAGAATATCTTTCAAAGAATCTTTGAAGAATCTGTGGCAGTTTATGCAGAAGATCTTCTTCGGGACTCAAAACGATTCTTCACAAGACAAAATCGTTTGAGAAAATCTCAACAAGATCTCTGGAAGAAAAATTGAGAAGGTCTTCGGAAGCCATTTTGTTCTAAAGATTTTCGGACGAGCTTTGATTTCTTTTCTTGAGAACACAATGTTTTCTGGGAACATCTTCGGGAGATAATTTTTTTTTTTTGAAGATCTTTGGAAAAATTGTTTTTTTCTTCAAATAGCAATATTTTTCTTGAAAATCTTTGAAAGACAATTTCTACCGTTTTCTTCCTGCATATTTTTTGGGTTTCTTCCAGCAATTGACTGGTTTATGCACACTGAAATGTAAAATAGCAAACAAATGTGTTAATTTACAATTGCTAGGATTTTAATAAGTTCACCAGATTAAAACTTCAGTATTGAATGTAGGTGTGAAATCAAATTCAGAGACTGGACTTGAAGACGTTAGTTTGTCTACTTACGTCTTGTATGGGGCCTATAAGCGCACTATGGGTTCCATATAATCTACGTATATACGGCGTTTGCACTTATAGAAGGAAGCCAAAGGAGTAAGAGGTCAATGAATCAAGGGTTAAAACTCAAGGTGCTAGTCAAATGGCGGTCGAATATTGGCACCAATATTAGATGGATTTTGCTCGAACGATATAGAAAATAAATATGTTGGTTACGTTATCAGAACCAAATGGATCAAGACCATGTTCCTAAAGCTTGACTAATGCTCAAATCAAGCGTGATCATTATTCACGTTAAGGGGTTACCCTGACGCTCGAAAAAATAGGTCAAAAAATGAATTTGTTTTCTACTGGAGATATAATATTTATACGAAAACTTTTATTTTACATAGATATCATAGATATCTCTGAACAATTTCAAAGAAAAACAATTTTCTTTAATTGAAAAATGACGCTGATATAAATTTTTGGTTGGTGCCTGTTTTACCAAATCCTCGTTAACGGTGAACACGACTTCTCACTGGGGCTTCATTTGAAAAATTAAAAAAAAAATGTATTAGTTAGACAGATAATCGCATGGAACTACGAGGGGAAAACTTAAAAAAATTTTTTTGCAAAAATGGCAGTGATCTGAAAAAAAAACACGATTTCGATGTAAATTTTTGTTTAAATAAATCTATAACTTGACAATGAAAGAATCAATCAAAAAAAGCTCTCGTAGTTCCATAGATAATTTCGTAAAAAAATCGGTACGTTAGATTTTAAATTATGGCGTCCACCAGTTTGAAAAACGTGGTTTCGAGAAAGACGCAAAAGAAGAAAAAAGTGCGCAGCAGCAGCAGCTAAAAATCAAGTTTTTTTTGGTTTACCTTTAGTCAAAGATTTAATATGCGCAATTGACGATATTTACGCTGTGATGTCACAAAGCAAACCGAACTTAGAATCCTAATGCATAACTGCACTATTGTTACCTGAAAAATTCCTCGGAAGGGACAAAGCAGTTACCTGGCCCGAGTGCAATCTTACTTCGTTGCCGCCCCCCACTTGTAACTGTTGTACCTTCTAAAATATTTGGAGTTTCATAATGGGAAGTGGTTTAGAACAGGGATGGGCAACCTCTGCTCTGAGAGCATGTCGTGCTCCCGACCTCTATTAGTACATAAGAAAGGGTAGACGAAAGCCCATTGTGTCGGGTAATGGGCCTTTATGGCTGAGGTCGTAAAGAAATCAACCGAAGTGGGGATGACACTTAAGAAAAGGAAAAGACGAGAAATGTCGCCGAAGAAAAGGAAAAGCGGAGAAATGAGTAAACAATGGAAAATGTGAATTTTTCTTCACCGTGACATTTTTATTTATTTTGAAAGAAGACGTTATAAATAAAATGTAAAAGCCGCCTGTTTAAGTTCAGAAGCAAAGAACAAATTCCACAATGTCATGTTGTTGGTTGTTTGTTGGTCCCGCAATTGTTCATTCAAGAAATGAAATTGATTGAAGTAAAAAATGGTAATTAAAGAACATTTGAAAAAAAATATTATTATCAAAAAATGTTCACTTTTAAATTCAGAATCAACATCAGCCTGTAAAAACTGCAATGTTTGGTAATTTTTCTTTGACATATTTTTCAGTAAGGTCGTTATCGGACCAAAAATTTAAAAAGCAAGTTAAAAGTTGTCAACAATTCGGGAAGCTGCATTTTAAGAGTAATTTCATGTTTATTTCAATGAGTAATAGTTATTTTCATATTCAAAAAAGTTTTTGGCCATGTGTGGATTTTAAAACTTCTCTTTATATTAATCGCAACGGCCATTTTCCCCAGCTTACCATTTGGCAGACGCGTCATGAGATGCTCCCCAATACAGTGAGTGTAAGACCCCTCTCTACTGTCCCCACCATGATCGTGCTAGGACCCTTATAATTGGCATAGTTATAAACTTTATTGAGTTCCTAACTCGAGTTTATGACTCTGCTCTGAGCTACCTGGAGGTTGCCTATCCCTGGCTTAGAATATTGTTAAAAGAATAAAAAATTTTTTAAGCAAAAAAAACGATGTTTTTTCCTGGGAAGTGGAACCCCTTAAGACTAAATTGGATTTGGTGCCAATGACGCAACACTGAAATGGTGGGTCCAATTACTGATTTCAAGCTCTTTTAAGTGGTTTCAATGATTAATTTTAAGCTTGATGAGACACGATTCATCTACGTTACGTCGTTTGAAGAGGAAATGTCGACGATTGATCACGGTTTGTTGTGACCCTTGCATCCCCATACAAAATGAATGAAGAAACTGTTAGTATATATTGGTTTCAAATTTTTACTCAACCCTGTCAAGGGGACAAACAACTAGAGAGCTTCCCTAGCTGAGTCCTCGGTCCGGTGGCGGAGAAGTACAGCTGGACAGCGAGGCGGTCGAGTCCTCGATTCTACGGAGGAGAGCGGCCTCGTGGTCTCCTCAGATCCCGAGAAGGAGAGGTAGCGGCGATGAGAGCTGTCTGGGCGTTTAGCTCTCGATCCCAACAGAGGAGAGAGCGCCCAGTTAGCGAGAAGGCTGAAAAAGGTTAAGCGGAGCGCTTAGAGAACCAGCGAGGGAGTTCAGTACGCAAGGCGAGCCGAGCACCAACAAAGAGCAGGTGCCTGTAGTGCAGGGCCTTATATACATCCAATCGACGGAGCGGGACTAGTACGTCATATGATGTAATGCCTAAGGCTCCTCACTAAGTTATCGAAGCGTCGCCGTACGAGAGATGTATGAAAGGCGTGCAGGCAACGTAGCGACGGCTAGAGCGGCGGTTTCAAAGTTCGGTATTAGTCGTTGCTAGTGTTGCGGTGCCCGAGCACTGAAAGGGTGGGAGGTGGCAGTGTTAAATTTCGGTGCTATGTGCGTAGGGCCCGTGGATCGTGGGTGGTTAGTGGTAGTGGGTGGTGGGTGGTGGGTGGTAGTGCTCGGAAAGTGGGCGAATCTCGGTAAGGAAGGAATCTGCAGACTGCCGAAAACGTATCGGACTATTTACGTTTAGTAAACACAGGTGGTATTAAAAACACCTACCGGAGCAATGCTTCCAGTATTAGGAATGCGATCGTAAATAAATGCACACATGTATGCATTTTACATTTTCCAGAGTGTTTTATTCCACATTTCCGCTACATTTTCAATCACTGAGGTGTTATCGACAGTTTCATACGTAAAGTCAGTAAAACGAATGTCAGAATGTTCATCATTATAAAAACAATGCACCCCACAGAACATGAATCTCCACATACATTACCAATTTTGCTCGTTTCGCGTTTAACCCTTTTATTTCTGAGTTCAATCACTCGAAGTAGTGTGAATACCATTTCGACGAGACTTAGAAAGGTGGGAAAAATGCAGTACGCACCTTTACTGGCTCTCAATATTCCTGCAACAGAGCCAATCCAACGCAGGTAGACTCTGGGTTTTAACTGTCGGCCGTCGTCTTTTAAAAGTTAACTCTGGGTCTCTAGATTCACAATTACGTTTCTATTAATTAGATATGTAAAGCAATTCAAAAGATATTGAAAATATCTTTACATATAGGGGTCTTAGTGTCGACAGTTTGACTTTCATTGACCTCGTCGCCGTCCGTCTCGGATTTGGAATACTGACTTGCTTGATTGCCCTCCAGTTTTTTGTGAGTTAAACTTTGATGCATACTGAAGACTGTGTGTAAAGCACAGAACTGTCTGCGATCAGCCATCTTGTTTTTCATGATACGAAGGTAAGACACGAGTGTAGTTCCATTTGAAAAGCATGCATTGTTTTTAAATTCGCCATTCGCATCTAAATTGATAATCTGTCAGGCACACAAAATTTAAATATGAAGTCTCCTCAGCACCAATGGTGAAAATACGTCGCCATTTCTGGACAGTTCTCTGATATTATGTAAAGCGTCTGTTATCTCAGCATTTCCATCATGCCACTCGATCCCATGATGATTAATTGTCAGCCTATTGTTTCCCTCAGCCCTGCAGGTAGAAAGGTCCAAGTATAGGTAAGACGCATTTAAAACTCAATGCGAGAGAAATAACCCCTCAATATCAGCAATTACAATTTCTTTTGGTACAAATTTTCCATTTTTGTCACGAAAAGCTTGGATACTGATAACAATATTTATGATAATTTCCCCACAAAAGTCTATCTTGTAATGACGAAGTAATCAAATTTGTTTAA